AAAAAAAAAAAACAAACTTTTTTTTAAATTTATTTTTAAAATTCTCTTCTCCACCTTTTCTGTTTTTCATTTTTTATAATTCCAAAAAAGTTTCTGTTTCCAAAAAAACAAAAATGGGGTTGTAGGGATTAAAATTCCCTACAACCCCATATATATATATATATTTTTCCTATTATTTAATTCAGGAAAAATCTCGTAAAATCGGGTCCGCGGCGCGGACCAGGTCGACCGCGGACGCGGCCACATATGCGGCCGCCATCCGAGATCGGGCCCGCGGACGCGGACGCGGGTGTTTCATAGCCGAAAACACATGGACAGACTGCAATCCTCAGCAAACTCGTCGAACAGAGCAGAGACACCAGTGCAATCCTCAGGAAACTGAGGGAACAGAGACACTGGAAGGGCCCCTATCGGGAAATGGAGACACGGCACCAGGCACCAGTACACATGCTAATTAGAAAATTCGCACTCAGAAACCCATGGAAAAGATACATGGGACAGCAGATGGAAAAACAGCACTGAAGTACACATGGTACAAAATAACTGGAACTACACATGGAACAAACACTATGGAACTACACATGGAACAAAAACACTAACAAATACACTGGAACTACAAAGGTGGAACAAATACACTGGAACTACAAAGGTGGAACAAATACACTGGAACCTATGTTACCAGAGTCACCCGGCCAGGCGACCCGGGCGAACTTGCACGGGCGGCGATCCACCTGGGGTACCCGGGCGACACCAAAAAGGGAGTTAATTTTTTTATTTTTATTTTGTTTTGGCAGTGGGCTGACTGGTCCAAGACGTGCCCAAATCTGGCCTTATCTTTGAGTTTGGTGATATCTCACCAAAGGGTGTCTATGGGGTATAAGCCGGGTTCGAAAGGGCTCCAAGGGGCTTAAAGGGGCTTAAAGGTGTATGATATAATTTAGTACTTCATTTTCCATTTTTATTTCGGATTCGATAGCGAGTTCTGTGGTCACCGTCAGGCAAAAGATGTTTGCTTTGCAATTCTGCAGGACAGATTTTTTTATATTTTTTCAGGGTTTTTTTTTTTTTTTTTTTTTGCGCTGGGACTGCCTTGGACCTTACATATGTGACTAGTACACTGGAACTACACATGGAACAACAAATACACAGAAACTACACTGGAACTACACATGGTGTGATAGCTGGAACTACACGTGGCGCGATAACTGGGACTACATATGGCGCGATAAAAAAAGTGCAAGGCACATGGGACAATGTACAGAGCTTACAACTGGGACTTGCAGAATGGCAAGTCGAGCCGGTATGCCAGAATGCGCAGAACTAAAAATGGAAGGTGATGGAGCCTCTCAACCAGAACTACACATGGGACAGAGAAAAAGTGCCACAGGACAAGCACAGACAAGATGGGCGAACTTTAACCTACGAACAAGGGTCAAACACCGTAGAAGCACAAAGTTGATCATTCAAAGAAACAAGGTGGATCCAACCCTTACAGTTTATTGTTCCTGTCGAGGGCGGGGGGGCGGGGGGTTGAGGGGGTTGAGGGGGTTGACGGGGGTTGGGGGGGGGGTTCATTCTTGTTCCTTGCCACCAACAGGCGTATTTTTTTCTGTTTCTAGAAATGACTTCTACAAATCTATGTTTATTCAACTTTATTGTCATTTTTTATTTAGCTTTTTTTTTAATTCACTAGAAGGGTGGTACCATGGTACAATAAATTGGCAACCTCTGCCTTCTGATATATTCTGCTACATCAATCTCGTTTTTCTTTCTTATAAAAAAATGGCAGCACAAATGCAGATTGCCGATGCACTGACCTAAGGGGTAAGGTCCCCCTAGGAGCAGGATAGGGTTTAGGTAGAGCTGTGGGACATCTTGTGAGACAATGAGAAGTTTCAAAGCATACGCTTGTCTGAATCCCTCTCTATGTCACCTTCACCTCTCCCTCATTCCCTTGTGCATTGATATTGAGGGCGAGTGTTTCTCTCTCTCTCTCTCTCTCTCTCTCTCTCTCTCTCTCTCTCTCTCTCTCTCTCTCTCTCTCTCTCTCT